ATATATATATATATATATCCCATAACTCAAAGCCTTAATTTGGTCCACTCATTATTCACATGAATGTTCACATGGTATGTATCAGATTCGCTGCATAACCCCGTCCGACTGTTTTCTTTCCCACTGAATACAATACCGTGTCGTTCCCTTTTTCGGATTTGAACCAAACAGATTGCAATTTACAACTTGTCGGATGCTAGTCAAAATCAAGTGCTTCGAGTGGATCATGAGGTGAAAGCAATCGCAATCGCCCCGGACTACACGAGGTCTCAAGTTATCGTATTCGGATACACGAAGGTCAGTTGTGTTTGCTTGTGTGTGTCTGTTGATTTATGCTGTTCCATCTGTTTGTGTATGTTCAGCCTTGTCTGTCTGTATCTGCCCGTAGGGTGCATTTTCTGCTCTACATACTCCTGTCGTTCATCCTGACTTAGAACTAGTCTCGTTATGATCATCTCCTTGACATCCTAATTGGCATCGAGCGATTCCAATAAATGCGATGATGTTCTATCGATGGAGAACCACGCGTCTGTCCTATACAGTGTACCTTATGGATCAACCTGTGACGTAATACAATTTTCCAGTTCACTATCGGGTCACTGCATGGTTGTCACTATTCTTTATACGTCACCACCCATGTCCTTTAGGCTTTATCTGTCATACTTTTGCTAAAGTGCTGTACCGCTAATTTCTCATTATCACCTAAAACTGCAAATCTGGGAAGCATTGTCTCATTCTGACTTTCGGATGCAACGGTAAATTAGAATCGTTCCCCTGTTGCTACCAATGCTTGTACTTGTATTAGCATGCGTCGCCTGAAGTTGAATCTCCCAAGTCGAATCAGTTCCGATGGATTTTTTCCTCAATTAACCTGGTCAGATAGACGCAAACAGATATGGTTGTACCTCATTCCGCTCTCTGATGAATACGGTTGGTGTATTCTGCGCCACAGTCTGGTAGACATTTTCCTAAGAGATGTGCGCCAATCAGTTTACTCGTACACCATATGACTAGCGATATAAACAGTTGATCTCAAGTAGAAGGGGCCTCTTTCAAGGTCCCGCCAACACTGTTCTCATAGCCTGGCAACCAAACGTTTGGCAGGTAAAGGGTAAGCTTGGAAAACTAGCCACCACTATTACACATCGCCTGAGTTATAAATATCGGTCAACAAGCCAACGTGATTAAGTTTGGTGATAGTAGCAATGATCACACTGTGAATGGTGTCTTCTCATTCCCTCTGGCAACGGATTACGCAACCCGATTTGCATTTCGCTCAGCTAATAAACGGTAAACTTTTTTGACATATTCATCTTTGTCCGAGCGTATCGTAGAACCAATTTCCTGCCCAATTTGGGTGTACTGTATAAATCTTGACTGTGTCAGGTGAACTCATCTTGGTACTTATTGGTGCCGCATGTGTTATCTACTCCCTGTAATAATTTATTGCACTTCCACTTTTAGGCCGTCCAATACTGATTGCTCACAAAGGCACATTTGAACAACTGATCCTGATAGACATTAGACTTGCGAACTTTTACCTCAAGTGAGAGAATAGTCCCTGTTAAAATCAGTTTCCATTCAAAAATGTTTGCTACTGATCCTGATTAATTAACACAAATGGTAGAAAGCATCCGAACTAGATGAATTACTTTCATCTCCTTTTAAAAATAAGAATTCAATAGTGAAGAAGTTCCGAGTGGGTGGCTTGCATTCGTGGGCGGTGGTGGCCCGGTGGTAACTTCACCAAATTATTACCCCGGGGATGTGTTCGAATCCCACCACCACCGCCTGACTTTCCCCATTGTGTGTTGAATGGCAGCCCTTTGATTGGCCGCTTCCCCCTTCCTGAAAATTGTACCATTGCATACTCCATAAAAGGAAGTAAAAATAAAAATAAAAGATAAAGATTAACATGTCGGTTTATGAGACACGGAGCAGATTGCTCTAGAGAAAACCACAGAACAATAAGCTTGATTGACCAATGACATTTTACCACTGATTGGCGATCCGGGTAAGTTATAAGCGCTTGTTGGATGATGTAAGTGTTAGTCCAGCCATGTTCGGTATGCGTTTTGCAACTTACGGGATTGGGTCGAGTCAGCTCCCTACTTTACTCTAAATGAAGAAGAAATACAGTTACCAGTCAAACTTCGTTTTAAAAAAAACTGAAACTCATCCGGCAAACGAGCCGAATGAATTTTCGGCACACAAACACACAAGGTTTGGTTGCTGTTTCTTTTTGGTGTGATAAACAGCAGACGGGATAAATCCCATAGTCACAAGGACCTGCTGTTCACTCATGAAAACCGGCAATCCGAGCCCCAGGACTTGGTATGGTGAACCGCATCAGGCACCGCCAGGTTAAGCGCGGAATTTCTATGGGCGACAGCTAAGTTGCCTACCATCAATTTGAGACATCTTAGGTGCCACTGAGACATCCCGTTATCTGTAAATAGTTGATCGTTTACTGTCGCTGTCTGGTCAGTGCAGCTGCATCGTGAAGAAACACGACCGTTAGGGAGACAGGAAAAGGACAGACAATTGGTTTTCGAATTCCGCTGTCTACGCTGCATTGTGTGAATTCGGTGGAGCAACCGGACAAACAATATCGAGATCAGACGCTGTTTCAGATAAACGCGGTTGTGCCATTGAGCTAGTGTACCCATGTTCGGTATGCGTTTTGCACCTTCAAGGTGTAAAATGCTGCTCCAATATTGGATTGTCTCAGTCCCCGACCTCACCCTCATTGAGGAAGTAGTAGAGGAAGTGGACAAGTTTTGCTACCTGGGAAGCTATATCTCACCTGGCCGACGCATCACGGATGAAGTGTTAGCGCGCATACAAAAGGCTCGATTGGCAGTTGCCACCTTGAGACATTTATGGCGCCGTCACGACATCCGGCTGTTTGTGAAGGGTCGAGTATATGCTGCAGCAGTTCGGCCAGTCCTGCTCTACGGTGCAGAGATTTGGCCACTACGGAAACAAGATAAAAAAAGATTGTCGGTACAAAGCTTGATCTCAGCTCCACAAACAGTAGTGACCTCCGCTCCACTCTCCAATACAGTTATGCTCAAAAGGTTAGTACAAGTTTCGATCCTTTGACGGACCAATCGGATTCTCGCGTTCATCATGCGTGTTTATGACTGCCGAGGATGCACACAGAAAGCAAGGTGCTGAAATGGAACACCGGGGAATCTTAGCTTTAACAATTGTGGCAAAAGTCAAACTCTCAAGTCTTCGATCGTCGAATAATTTCTAGAATACAGATCGACAATCTGTGTGACGGGGGCAAAATCTAAATAGAATTTAATATGACTTAATTATGGGGTTCAGGAGGGTCTTTTTAGTGCGGAGGGGAAGGGGTAATAATTTGGATGGAATCTGGTCTGTAGAAATAACGAAATTCGACAACCCCTGGGGTGAGCCTCGTCAGTAGCCATGATTCGAGGCGATATACTGTTTCAAATTCTCGTGAGCTCTATTTGGTTCAGTTTGACCACGCAAAGGATTCCACTGGAACACGTTTTTTTTCATTCTGACCCTAACGGTGAATTCGTTACGTAATGTTTGAGAATGCTCTCGGACAATTTGACAGAACACAACGGGGAGTACTGTATACTACTTTTCGGTGTAGAATGGCACCTCAGAACCAATCCAACTAATATCACCATCGTTTGTTTGGTTTTCACATTCATTTTGGTTTTTTGCCTCCTACAGATTCTCTTGCTGTCCCGGGGCGTATTTACCCGAAATAAAAAAGGCGAATTGGCCAAAGCACACGGTCTGGTTCGCTCAATTAAGTGGCGAGGGAATTTCATTCTTTGGGCCGATGATGAGGTACGTCGTTTTGATTTTCTACGCTTTTAGGAATCATGTTTTTCACCAGTCATTTCACTTTTTGCACCGATCATTGATGGTTTTATTAAAATTGTGCTCGTTTTCTCGGTGTGTGAGAGAGAGCCCAACCATCAAATCTATTGGCCCACGTTTGTGATAATATTGTTTATATATTTTGTAGAAAACAATGACAAAAATTATCCGGAGTGCAAAAACTGGTGGGATGTCTAACAGATTATCAGACACATGACTTTTAGGTTACCGTGACTGAAAGAGAAAGGTAACCCCTTCTGAAGTGTCCGCCTAAGAGCTCAGACTCACCAATTAACAAAGCGAGCTCAGAAATTCGGCAGAGATCAGTGAAGCTCGCTTCACTGTATTTCACTGTACGATGGTGATGTCCAGAGATCACAAGCCATTTCAGAGGTAGTTAATGTCCATTTCGTTGAATCTTTTGGACTACATCAGATATCTAAGCTTCGTGATGCATCTCGATACTCAATCAAGTTAAGAATCGTTACCGAAATCAGGACTGTGTTGATGCGATTTGTACACCTCTTTCGGGTTATTTCAGTATCACGTTTTTTCGCCAGGTCCGTAACGTGAACTAGCGATGCTTTACTGTTCCGTTTACAGCCCCATATGTAGGCTTTACGTGCCACTCCTCATTTTGGTGAAAAAAACCGCCCGTGAGGGCAGTGTGTAGGGTTTCTTCATCAGACTGTTTGAGACGCTCCGTGTCCTAGGAACATTGTACACAGTACTGCGGAAGGGTAACCGGTCACAACTCAAGACCTGCACCTTCTTCAACCGTGCTGAGGCTCCAATGGTGACGTGGCCGAAATTATACATCCTTAGTTGAGTGAAGTTCATTTGAGCCAACCGATTAGCTACCACTAACTCACTGTCGAAACAGATTCCTGATATCTGGTATCCAGTTCACTAAGGGAGGAGGTTAAGAACTAAACGAATTTCCCTCACTGATTTTACTAATGTTTTTTACCATAAACGTCAGGGCGGTGGTGGCCCGGTGGTAACGTCACCAAATTATCACCTCGGGGATGTGTTCGAACCCCACCGCCTGACTCTTTGTGTGTTGAATGGCAACCTTTTGACTGTCTGCTTCCCTCTTCCTAAAAATGGTATCTTTGTTTATTCAATAGAAGGAGGTAAAATGAAAAAAGAAAAGGAAAACTCCTACTGTGATATTTGGCTTTTGATCTAAACACTATCTATAATCTTTGTGATCATCATCATCATCATCATCGTACAGCGAGATACAGCGAAGCGAAGTTCGCTGATCGCTGAGCTTTGTGAAACCTGAATCAGTTATCTATCGAGTACCACCTCAACCATACAAGTCTCCACACCCTAGCCATTGCGGAAGTTATCGGAATTCGTTTATTCAAACCCAATCTATATGCACAAAAGAGGTTGGCCCAATGCATTCAACTGCCGTGGCCGAAGGTCGATCGCACGGATGACGCATCACAACCTGATTACAGTGTAGTGGCGATCTAGTGGTGTGAAACACGTCGCACCACTCACCCTCTCCCTCTCAACCAATCACTGTGATTTCTGAATGACTGAATGTCTATCCTCGCTTAACATGATCTATACCTGCTGGAAGATCAATCCGCGAAAACATTTGTTCGCCTCCGAACGTGTGTTCTCATGTCAAAATGGACATATTCTATAACCATAATCTTTTATTCGGTAATTTTTAATCGTGTTTCTAAAGCTTTTCTCCATTGTTTGAAATAAATCGGATGCACGGAGGGAGATAGTAATGAATCGGAGTAAAAACGGAATACCACAATGCGACACAGACGGAAATGTTACCCAAGACACTGATCACAGCAGCCTAAAAAACAAAGCGAAAGCTACCACGCGGTCTGCAACCTCTTCGGCTTACCACAGCGACAACAGCAGGGCTGTCAACCAATGGATCGCTCTAAACAATTGAGCTGACCGAGCAGAGAGAGAGAAGAAAGTTAGCGTTCTTCCATGTCTGACGGAAACGTTCGGAGATGATCTAAATACATGAATCGTGCATTGTCTCACTGTGTCGTTAGGAATCAACCGTATACATCAGAGCCTGTTCCTTACTTAATTCTGAATTTGTTCTGTGCTCGTTTACCCAATCGATATGTTTTCCCCATCAAAACAAGTCACCGGACTAAGATGCTGTGTCACCGTGATAGGTCATAATGTTAGTGGTGACTTCAATCTGCCAAACAGCAGTTTGAATAACTAAAACTAATTAATCTGATTTGATTTTCTCATCTTTCCCAATTTCATCTCTCTTCCACTTCCTATTCGTCTCCGTCCACAGTGCGTTTGTGTGTATGACGTATGTGATCGAAGACCGATTGCATACATGCGCTATTCAGAACGCGATAACACGTGAGTCGGAAATCATTGTTCACTCCTCCTGCCCCCCCCCCTTCGTTACCCACAATATTTTACACACTCCCGAAATTTGTTCTGCGAAAAATGGGATCTCCGCACCCCATACGCTCGTCATGAGCTATCGACAAGATCATAATTTCTTATTCTCTTGTGGCTATTCGTGTACTAGCTGTACATTGAAAAATAATTTACTAAATGCATCATCAATCATCGGCCCCCATCTTTCCCCTAATTATAGAAGCATCTATTTTCATCACTACCCGGCTCCTAGTTCGTACCAGCATTTACCCGCAAGCCTTCCGTCGCGAGATTCACCCCGCCTCGCACCCGTAAATGCGTTCAACTTTTGTTATCACTAGCAACCCGGCGCTCTTTTTCTTTATTGTACAGATTATCGTGCCGTCATTTATTTGGCACACAGTCTGGACTCAGACAGATATGAACTATAATCATATGTATATCTACAGGACGGTTGTATGATTCCTCTTCTCCTTAACTAGTTAAGCATATGTTGCTGTTTCCACACTAACAGCGGATTTCTTGTGCGCTTGTTGTTCTCACTTCTATAACTGCTCATGCCGGACACTTCAGCTTCACTCCTACTCAAAGGTACTTATGCATGGGTTCCCGGCCCTCCAACTGTCGTCGCTGATACTGTAATTGCTGCCGAACTGTTGGAAGTTGGTTACAATTATCTCCATCCCAAATACTCATCTCTACTTTCGTTTCAATTCAATTTGTACGACCATGCACCTTTGTGCGGCGGTTTTAGTTACTGTCTTTTGGCTGCCCATTTGGATGAAGATTAGGAGAAAGACAGGAATGATTGAAAGTAGAGTCGAACAGAAAATGGAGAATTTCAGTGGTCTAAGGTTGCAAAGAAATTGAGAAGATGCACGAACGCTACTGTTTACGACACTCAGACATATCACTCAGTGTCTCTAACCGTCGGTTACGATTATCCCGAGGTCCCCATCCAGGGAGCCTAACGGGGCCTATGTGACCCAGTCCCCTGGTTATGGATTTCATACTTTCGTGCTATGTCTTGCATCCGATTGCATTGAACCCTGTTCGCAATTTATAATGCAGGAAGTCACACACAGATCGCGAATGTCTTTGAGACGTGGCGTAAATGATTACAACGTGAAGAGGCAGGTGGGATAGTGTATCATTCCTTGGACTTGTGTCCAAGGGACCTCTTAACCTCTTGGTCGGAGCTACTGAAGAACGACAGCAATTATGCAGCCGCGGTATATTGTGTGTCATTTCCTTGCATACTTGGCTGTTTATGTACCAGTGCGCAGTAGCTCACTTTCTTCGCCCCTCCCTCCGTCCGACACACGCACTTCCCGTCCACCTTGGGCATCGTTATTCACTCTATGCCCCTGATAACAATCCGCGAAATTCACCCCATTTTTTCCTTGCATGATGACGATGGTGATGCGGACGCCTTCAGGTCAAATTCAAAGTCCTCCCCGGTTGCATTGTAATCATCCAGATCGGCAGCGGCTGAAGTAAGAGCAAGGACAACTACTAGTGTTCGGTGAGACGAAAACCGGAACATTGGGATCAAACTGGGTATATCGAATAACGCTCGAGTCAGTCAGTCAAATTCCATGACTGCAGACGGGGAACAATGTTACGCGTGCGTGCGCGTAATGACGTTCGTGCAGCTTTCACTTTTACATCATTCACTCAACTTCATTCTTTCCAGTTTCAGTGTAAACAACCATTAAGCATACATTTCCGTGCGACGCTTTTGGTTGCTGTCTTTTGGCGTCTCATTTGTGTGAACAATAGGAGGAAAACAGGAAGGTTGAAAGTAGGATCGAAGAGTGTAGTATCCAACATTCTTTCCACAATCATGTGTCCACAGCGATTGCTTATGCTTTTTATTTCTTGTGTTCGTTGCAGAAACCAATAATTAATTTTTTTTTGTTTATCAAATTTTGGCACTGATGATCAATCTACCAAATAGAGTTCAACTCTAGTAATATCACCCTGGAGGACATGTGTTCAAATCCCACAATCAGACGCCTAACCCTCTCCATTTACTGTATATGGTAGCCCTTGATTTGGCCGCTTCCTATTCCTGAAAATTGTTTATACTTCCATTACACATCAAAGGAGGTAAAAACAAAAGAAAAGGGATAATCCACAGAGAGTCGTGGTTTTACATGTATCTACCGTAGTTTGATTTGCTTGGTTTTTTTCCCGTGTCCGTTTTATACTTTTTTCTTCCACTTGTCTCGCCTGTGCATATTTAGCCTAAACAACCGAACATTGGCCTGCTACTTGAGTTGGTGCAATGACACTTGTTTTCTCATTGGTCGGGGTCATGCATTACGTGTCTGTCAAATTGTGGAGCGCTATACGGATTCACAAAAATTTTCCCCACTACGCCGTGCTAGTTCACGCTCATCCTCAATACATTCCCTGGCCAGTGCAAGCGACAACGCTCCGGGTCTCACCAGCCGTTATGTGGAACTCACCGGTCATGTGGAGCTACCAAATCATCTGGTACGTGGAGTCACACGACATCAAACGTTCCTTCTCGCACTGGTGACCCCATATCAACCTATTGGGTCAAACCCGACCAACGGTCTACCACTGGAGCTCCATCTTATAGAATTAGAAGATGACATTCCCGGCGAAGGGACCGCCACTAACCCCAAAGGTCATACAGTCACACGAGAAGTCCTCGCGTCGAAAATTGAAATTTCTTTCGGGCGATGTCCTACTCTGGCTTTAGGTAATTATCACGGCATCTTGACCAAGCTTGTTTCTCAGTCTTTGGTCTCATTCGGCCTGGTGTGGGCGGTCTGTCCGTCCAGTTGTATGCTACGCTCATGTCCCATTTACCATGTTCTCATCTCTTCGTTTACTTAGTGAACGGCTGCAAAAACCGAAACGTGATGCTTAGACTGTAAATATGTAAGCATTTTTATGTCTCGCGAAATCACGCTTCAAAACGTCCGGTTTCAACTCTTCAATCTACGCATCTCGGAAGTATTTTGCTTTCTTATCAGCATCGACCGATGTAAAACTTCCAATAGGACTTTGTATTTTATGTGAATCCCCCTATATGAGTATAAGTTGGCTTTGTGGATGAGACCAGCCTGTTCTTGCATGTCCAGTATCATTTGGTTTTATCACTATCGTTTGTCCTCACGACACATTCCACAGCTGCACAATCAAGTGCTATGTGTAGACTTAGTGCCTCAATATGGCCGCTCGTAATCAATAATTCAATGAAGCCAAACCAACTTATTCATGATCTGATGTCAGTCATAAAGTGTGTACAGTTGGGTTGCTAAGTTGTTCAAAAGCCAAGAAAACATCTGTAATCAACCGTTTGCTAAATTTGGCAGATTAACATTCGTAGTTTGGTTGTATGGCTATAGGAACAGCGGAGCAATACGGTCAGAGTCATTTTAGACTCCACGGGGGTGGCCAGAACTCCTGATGCACTGGCTTTATATATATACATATATATATATATATATCATAATAACAAGTAGTATGTCAATGACTGGACAGAATTTCCTGGGAAGCTCATGACCGGCTTCGTGGTGCTTGTCACTTGTCAGGCATGCGTATCCGCTAATCGTTTGTCACTTCATTCGTATACTTGTACCCAGGAAGTGTATTATTGTCACAATAACCTTGTTTGCAACACCGAGTTATTGAGAAGACAGATCTTCCAGAGCCAGTCCATTGAAGAATCAATACTATGGTTCGATGTCTTGTAAGTTGGTTAGATGCTACTAACCTGACATTGACAATACTTCTTAAGCACAGAGTTTCTATCCCGAGCAAGGAACTGGTCCAACCTAGATTGGAAGATTCTTCTTTTAATATCCCCTTTGCGTCATTTCGGCTCCGAATTTAACGTACTTCATTTCTATGGGAATAGGTATGTGCATGTGTCATTGACACGACACTGTCATCAGAATTAACGATAAATCACGGGGAAACTGGGAGCCTTTTCCCATCAAGCTTCATCCGAAACCTAGAATTCTTTTGTTATAATATGTAATCCTTTAACCCAAACCCGCAGTTCTTTTGCTTTCAGCCTTGACGCTCAAACTTAACGCATGCCTCTGTAATCGAGTCAAATCCGAAACATCGGACTATTCTGAGGTCAGCGAATGATGAAAATTTCATTTCCCATAAAGTTTGGTTAGAAAGTGAGGTGTGGCTCTCGTATACTGCGCAGTTGACCGTCGTTATGTTATCACATGCTACACAGCACATGGAATTAAGGTGTAAACGATACGCTCGTATCATTAAACCATTTGGCACGTACTTCATGACTGCTGAACCAGCTTTTAGTAGACTAGCAGACATGTGAATAAATAAAAGTGCTAAAAGAACATGAGCTGGGTAAATTTACTGAATACCTGTTCTAGCGGGTTAAAAAAGGTCTACATGCTGGTAGAAAGTGAATTTGGTGATTGGTTTGTCATTGTGCATCCAAAACCCTCTGATAGACGGACGCATTCGCAATGGTTAAGACTACTGTAACAACTGTTTGCTTAGTAGCGATTGACGATGAGCAGATTGAAAGAAACGCATTTCAATATACTAAGCATTCCTTGTGCGACAATCCTCAAAATGCCGATGACAGATGAACATGCTGTTGTGTTCAGGTTAAATCTCTTACTGGACGGGAGACTCCAAACTGCTGCTTCTCAGCCGTCTTTCCCGAGCGTCTATAGCTGCAGCAGCGCTAAATGTTGTAGTTGGTCTGGTCAGTACACAACTCCAACGTTGCATTACCAGTTTGCCGTACCCAATCTGATATTCTGCTTGTTTGTCGATGACAGTGTCCGAGTTTCCTTCTACCGGTTGAATGGTCGGTTTCCACCCATCGCTCAACCAAAGTCTTGCCGATCGCTGTGCTTGGACATTCTTTCACCATCCCCTTCTTTAACCGCCTCAGTGTTTCTTTGTGGTCACCGACGGCTACATGACACAATTGTTTTGCGAGCTCGTTGTTGAACTTCGTCTGGTATGATCCAGGTTTGTAAGTTATTTCCTGATCCATGGTTACAGGGCTGCATGGTATAATTTTATCTAAATGCGCACGTGTTTGGCAACTTTTTCAAATCATTCCCTCTGCATTCACGTTCAGTTACTTTTCGTTCGTCTTTCCTGCTGGTGAAACGATAGGGTGTTTGTTGCTGATCGATTTTACCAGTATCCACATTGCTGAGGCTGAAGGACTAGGGGTTCTCGGCAAAAAATTGCGCGCGTTGACTAAAGGTGTAGTAGTTGGTTTCTGTTTATGACATTCTGGAGTAGTTGGACTTTCTTGTCTATTGTACTGTTTTGGGTCAGTGCGTTTTCGTCTCTCTCTCTCTCACACACACGCTGTTCCACCTATCTCGACTGTGTCATTCACAGAATCTGTCCCGGATGAGAATACGCACTATATTATCACCCCAAAGGAAGTGACACGAGCAGAAGAGCTAACCACAGATGATCGCATATCCTGGTTACTAACCCACGAACAGTTTGATCGTGCGCTCGAGATTGCACGCGATCATCCGCGTTATCTCATCAATCACACAACCGAGGTCAGTGTGTGTGTTAAGCCTTCTTCCCCCCCCCCCGCGTTGTTTATCATCTCATCTAGTGCGTGTGGATTCAAGTGATAATTTTCCCTGGCATAATTGAACTAAAAACCTTACAAAATGTGCTCCTAACTAAAGTCGTTGAACTTTTTTCATATTGCACACTACTGTAATGAATAGCAGGAGGCTGTAAACTTTACAGTCACTAGGGCCCACTACACCTACAAGAACCGGCAACCAAACTCTTCGATTCCCAGTGGCGAACCACATATGGCTACAGTGAGATAGGCATGGGATTGAGCCGGAAGCTAGTCAAGTTGCTTGGCGGTGGTAGGGCTTGAATATCGGACCCAGGGGTCCGAAACACGCCACTGACAAAGAGTTAAATATCACCGCTTTTGCTTTGATTGATAGGACAAATTCCAAATATCATGCTGGCATATTCGTAGAATCACACTGTAAACAGTTTGTGCAAGGTGTATGTCGTATGTAACATGCCTATTTCCCCGTTGCCTGTCAGCTGCACACCGGGTACGTCATACACGATCGGAATCTATGGTTAAGTTGTGACTAATGTCCGTAAAGAATAGCAACCAAAATGGTCAAAGGGCCAGAGTGAATACTAGGAATTTGCTGACTGCAATACCGACGAATTCGGGAAAATATGATTCCCGTATATCAAATACGGCATCAACCTAACCATATATATATATATATATACATATATACATACACACATACACACACACACACACACACACACATATATATATATATATATA